GCACCCCAGACATGGATCCCTTGGATTTCTTCCAAGGAAGCGTGCCGCTCGTCACAGAGGCAAAGGTATATATAGCTCCTTTATTTGGTTTCCAGTTTACATCGATGAGATTTGTACAATATTTTATCATCTGCTTGCCAATGGTTTGTTTGTTAACAAGTATTGTATTGAATATGATATTTCTATATTTAAGCCGAATGTTTACGCTGTTCCTTTTTGTAAAACAATTTGTAAAGATTTTAAACTTCTGTGTTTTGATAGAGTTTATAAAGATTTTAAAAGTTTGTGTTTTGATAATTAGTGTTTAGTTTGAATGTCTGTATCAGTGTAATTTGTTCGTGTTTATTTGTATTTATGTATCACTCACTCTTCTGTCAATTTTGTGGACATGCAGTGAAGGCATTCCCCAAGGATGATCCATCCAAACCCTGCAAGCTGACTGCTTTCCTCGGTTACAAGGCCGGGATGACTCACATTGTCAGAGATGTCGAGAAGCCTGGATCAAGTATGCGATGCTCTAACTAACATCTCTTTAGGTCATATATTTTGTTGATGGGTTAATGATATATAATATAGTTCCTTAACTCTATGATTTCTTTTGTGCTTGATCGAGAAGGTTAATAAGAGATGGTGGATACTTAGGTTGGAAACATGTGTCTGTTTCATATTTACTGCCACAAAATACAATGCTTAAATAAGTTCAACACGAATTCGTGCCTTTTTTTTTTCTTCTGACGTGTGTGTTCAAGTGGTTCACTTAGCATTCAGAAAATGTGAGTGTTTGAAGTATCAATGTCAGTTTTTTTTTTTTTTTTTTTTTCTAACAAACTTTTAATCTCTTTAGAGCTTCACAAGAAGGAGACGTGCGAGGCTGTTACTATCATTGAGGCTCCTCCCATGATGGTTGTTGGAGTTGTTGGTTACGTGAAGACACCACGAGGCCTTCGTTCTCTGAACACAGTGTGGGCTCAGCATCTGAGTGAGGAGGTGAAGAGGAGGTTCTACAAGAACTGGTGCAAGTCCAAGAAGAAGGCTTTCTCAAAATACTCGAAGAACTATGAAAGTGAGGAGGGAAAGAAGAGTATTGAATCCCAGTTTGAGAAACTTATCAAGTATGCTACTGTCATCCGGGTGTTGGCTCACACTCAGGTATTGATTGGACTTTGTTTGTCGAATTGATGCTGTTCTTGTTTAGCCTGGGTATTTTTTGTCATGGTATTTGATATTTGCTTCGTAGAACCTTCAGCCAGTTTACCCTACAAATTTGTCTTTCAAAAACGTAGTTCTGATTTATGATGGTTTTATTTGTTCAGCTAGATCGAATAAATTGTTTGGAGGCTAATGTTTGTCATGTTTTTTTTTTGCTTCGTTTTTAGATATTATTCCAAATACAGTTTTTATAATAGCTGCAACATTGCATTGAAACAAGTAATGTTATGTTCTATGGAACTCGTGATTGATGTTGCATGTGCTTGTTAAGTAAATTTTATTTATTTATTTATTTATTTATTTAAGTTGTTTCTCGTAGTAATTGCTATATCTTACTGTTATGTACTTTTTATGGTCCTTCAGTGATGTGTTTGTGCCTCTGTCCAAAAAAAAGTGATGTATTTGTGCTTGTATTTTACATCTGCAGATTAGGAAGATGAAGGGATTGAAACAAAAGAAAGCACATCTTATGGAGATCCAGGTGAATGGAGGGACCATTGCCCAGAAAGTTGAATTTGCCAAAAGCTTCTTTGAGAAGCAGATCCCTATTGATGCTGTTTTCCAGAAGGATGAAATGATTGACATCATCGGTGTCACAAAGGGTAAAGGTTATGAAGGTGTTGTTACTCGTTGGGGTGTTACCCGGCTTCCTCGCAAGACTCATAGGGGTCTGAGGAAGGTGGCTTGTATTGGGGCCTGGCATCCTGCTAGAGTCTCATTTACAGTTGCCAGGGCTGGTCAGAATGGATACCACCACCGTACTGAGATGAACAAGAAGATTTATAAGCTCGGAAAGGCTGGGCAGGAGTCACACACTGCTGTCACTGAGTTCGACAGGTTAGTAAACTTAATAAACTTGCATGATTTTAGTACTCTGCATATGTCCCGTTGGTTCCTCTTTAGTTTTTGTTGGATTCTTGGTTTAGATTTTAGTTTTGTGTTTGTTTAGAAAATATGCTGATATCGATGATGTTTCAGGACCGAGAAAGACATCACTCCCATTGGTGGCTTTCCTCACTATGGTGTGGTGAAGGATGACTACATTCTGATCAAGGGATGCTGTGTTGGACCTAAGAAGAGGGTCGTCACTCTTCGCCAGTCCCTTCTCAAGCAGACCTCTCGTCTTGCTCTCGAGGATATCAAGCTCAAGTTCATCGATACCTCCTCAAAGTTTGGCCATGGTCGCTTCCAGACAACACAGGAGAAACAGAAGTACTACGGACGTCTCAAGGCATAAGGATGAGAACTCCCCAAGAGTTAATAGCTATCGAAGTAGTAGTCGAGTTTTTAGTTTCTATGCGAAAGACAGTAAGTTGCAACAATTCTGTTTCTCATGGTTTGTTTTGGTTTGAATTGCCGAGGATGTTGAACGGTGCGGATTAAGTTTTGTTTTCTTCGAGGTACTTGAATATTTGATGGTTACTTTAGAATTACAACTTTTGAACCTGTTTTTAATGACTGCTCATTTGACGGCTAAAATCATGGGGGATAAGGGGAGAAAACTAGAGGTTAGGAAAAAGTTATTTGATTGATAAGCGGTGACTAGTGAACCACAAGTGGTCCACTGGTAAGAGCGCTGACTCTGGTTTCTTGATAAACAAAAAAATGTGGGGGGTTTCAGGTTTGATGCTACGAGTCTGTTTGACTGTGGTCGAGTAGGGTGAAATTTCTCAGTCTTTCCGGAGTTTGGAAGGCTTGGATAATTGTTTCTTGCCATCAGGTGTTTCTTTTTGAATTTCAAAAATAAATGGTGACCGGTGAACCACAGCAAGTGGTTCATTGGTAAGGGCACTGTGGTTTCTCAATAAACAAAAAAATTGTGGTAGGTTCCAGATTTGATGTTCCGAGTTAATGAGTATGTTTGATCGTGGTCGAGTAGGGTGAAATTCTTCATACCCTCTCCGGATCCAAAAGGTGTGGATAATCGTTTCTTGCCTTTGGTTGTTTCCTTTTGAAAAGAAAAAAAATGGTGACTGGTGAGTGCATATAAGGTCCTGATATACTTTTTAGTTCGAAGACTTGTGCTTGGCGTGATTTCTTGGACAAATTATGTGATCTTACCATTTTCATAAAGAAATGTTGGACCATATTGTCAAAATTATGGGCCGCTTGGTCCCATCCGTTCGGGGTTTTGTGCCACTTGGTGCTAACCGTTTGGAATGTATTTGTGGCTCAAACAGCAGTAGCCACGGTCTTTACCAAAGGTTCACTTCGATAGAGCGAGAGCGCGATAACAACCCGAAGGCGAAGATGGTTAGAAGTTTAGAGAAACACTGGGGGGAAGAGACTTGGAAGATAAGAGAAACATGACGAGTAAGAGACTTAAGAGGAATTGCCCCCTACAGGACAAGGGAAAGGTCTACCGACGATTAGTTGTTCTTATTCATTAACTTAGCTTGAGCCAACGCAAATATGGCATTGAAGCTGAACTTGAGCTTGATTCAACTAATTTACATTTTTTAAATTTATTTAGAAAATATATATTTACACAGGGGGGTGGCGGAATAAATTGATTTCAAAATCACCATTTACAAGATACGAACCTAACTATTTATTAACGAAGAGGTATACTACTAAACCAGTGTAGGGCAGTTTGGATTAATGTGCCTTTAAAAAAAAAAAAAAACTCGATTTTGCTTTAAGAATAATCAACTGCAAAATAAGCAAATGAGCATTTGATAACTATATTTTTTATAAGTGATATGAGTATGAAAAACAATGTAAAAACGTTTGGTAAATTTATATAAGTTTGTATATGATAAAAAAAAAATGGACATGTAGTGATGGTGGTGGCGACGATAAGCGGTGGCAAAGACAATGATGGGGGCAGGGTCGTAGTGACACTAGTAGGGTGTGGTGTTTGGGGGTGTAAGCGAAAGTGGTGATCTCCACGGTTTTGTAAGGTTGGTGATTGCAGTTATAGGTGGTAGCAGCTATAGCGGTGAGCGCAACATTGGTGATGGCAACGACAATGGTAAGGCTGTGATGGTGGTGCAAATAATTGGGTGTGATGGTTGTGGTGCAGAGATAACAACAATGGTGGTAGGGAAGCAACGACGATGGTGGCAATGGTAGTGATTGTGGTTGTTGTGACGACAATGCAGTGGTGTTGTGGTTGTAGTGGCAGTGGTGGTGTTTGTGATTGTTGTGTTAGTGGCAATGGTGGTGAAAATGGAGGTAGTGGTGTAAGATTAGTGGTTGTAGTAGAATGTGGTGACAATCACTTTTTTACCATAGAGATAAAATGTGTATAAAAGAATAAATAATGTCATTGTTAAACCAATAATGGTATTACAAGAATTTAAAATATTCATCATACGCTCAACTCTACTTTTTATGGAAGCAGTTTTAAAAAGTAACCTACAAACATCTTTTAACAAGTTATTGTCCAAAGGCCATTGTTTCTATAATAAGTGAAATATTTAATTTTACCAAACGTTTTTTTATTAATTAACTATAATGCAAATTAGGCTTATTAATTGAATAAATGATCCTTGTGGTTACATGGAATTCGGAAGATAGTTCTTGTGGTAAAAAAATTTAAACTTAAACTCTTGTAGTGAAATTTGTTAGAATTTATGTCCAAAATTAAAGTTTATGTCATTCCTCTAATTACCTACACTTGAGCCTCAAGTGAGAGGCTAATACGCGAGGCTCACTTGTGGGCTATTAGACCTTGCATTTTTTTATGGTTTTAGTGGGGTCCAAGGACTGACCTTGGCCTCGCACGTGTTAGAAATCCAAGTTTAGGTTAGGGCAAATGGGTGTGGGGGTTTGTTGTACTTTGAATGTGCGCATTCCAATCTAAATCATATCTTGCAATTACATATCAAGCACTCGATCTCTCCCTCTCTCTCTTTGCGGCCCTAACTGAGTTTCCCTCTTCACTTCCGACGTCCTTCGATCTCTCTCTCTCTCTCTCTCTCTCTCTCTCTCTCTCTCTCTCAGGCAAGTCCCTTTCCTCCGTCTTACCTTTCATTGTCGATGTCGTTTTAAGCATATGAAGGTGAGTTTGGTTGTAGAGAAACAGCCAGGGAAAATCTTAATCCGGTAACTGGGATCTAATACGTCACTGGACGTGTTTGATTCTTCGGCTATTATTTTCCTTCCGTTTCTTTCTCGGCAACCAAACAGGTCTTTAGGCTTTGAGTTCTTATCAATTTTGTCAGCTCAGTTTACCCTTTTCGTTTACTGTTTTGCCCTCTGAAAAAAAAAAAAAAAAAAAAGAAGCTTAATTTGGTATTCTAATTAATTTTTTTGAAGAAAAGCTCATTAATTTTTTGTATTTTGAAGGGAATTATTGTTGTTTGAAGCCATTTTTATCTGGTTAATTTGGGGTTGTCACTGAACTTAAGAATTTGCATTGCTATTACACAGCTATGGTGTATTTGGTGTTGTTTGAAATTGGGTTGTGCCTGAAAATGCTAATGTGTGGTTGGCTATGGTTGGTTGGGTTGTTGCAGGGTTTTCCACGATGACAGAACCTTCTAAAGTCATTCATGTTCGAAACGTGGGGCATGAAATTTCTGAAGTATGCTTCTGCCCTTCACTGTGTCTCTGCAAATGCCGAGATTCAGCGGATTTAAAATTTTAGATATGTTTTTATGGCTTTCCAAAAATTTGTATGATTGACAATGTACTTTAATTGGGTTGAATTCATGGTCTCCTAAAACTAGAAGCATAGAGTCTTATACTGATGAGTTTAGTGCTTCTTGGACAATCAAGAAGAAAATTATGCTTAATTGACTTTCGCTATATCTAAAGGAAATGAGATTAATACACTTTATGGAAAAGGTAAGAAAATTTCAGGAATTGAGGATAATCTTTTGTTTATACATTTTTCAGCGTTGTGTGAGTCAATTGGCTGTAAGTTCATAGTATGTTTACCTTGCATAAGTTTGAGAAGAAAGGGTGTACCATGGTATCGGAACTGAAGCAATGCATTAAGTGTGAATGTTTTATAAGTAAGGAGGAGATTTTTAAATGGAATTGAGGAAACTGCAAATCTAAATGTGAATAGAATGGTTTGATACGATGAATAATGAGAATTAGTGCTGATTTTAGAGGGAAGTGCCTTTCTCTTTAAAGGAGTTTAATTCTTTAATTTGTTACATATAAGTATAACGTGGTAGAATCATCTTGAGCTTATTATGCTTTTATTTCTTTTAACTATTTCTGATGGATTATGTTGTTCTACTAGAATGATTTGCTTCAGCTATTTCAGCCATTTGGAGTCATAACTAAGCTTGTGATGCTTCGTGCAAAAAATCAGGTTTTTTAAATTCTCATTACAATATGGTAGAGAATCTAGAGATAGAGGGTTTATGTTGTATATTTCATGTGTCATGTGCAATCTGCTACATGTGCAGGCTCTTATCCAAATGCAAGATACTGCTGCTGCAGTCAGTGCACTGCAGTTCTATGCAAATGTTCAGCCTGCCATAAGGTAAAAAGATGGTGCCCCCCCCACCCCCCCAAAAAAAAAATTTTGAAACCTCTATTGAGCACGCTCTATGTATTGTGATTTGCATAGTAATTTAAGTAACAATTTGTTACATTTTAATCTCAGTTTATATTTTCTATGATACTAGGGGAAGGAATGTATATGTCCAATTCTCCTCACATCAAGAACTGACAACAATGTACCAGAATGCACAAGGACGAGGAGATGAGGTTGGTACCTTGTAGGCCTGATACTTATATAAAATGTGTTATCCAGTAATAAACATTAGAATGAGTCACCTTCTGGTATGTTAGTACTTTTTACTGTGTCGTTAGTAGAGCTGAAGTGGCATGTGCTGAAGATGTAGACGTATTGGTCTGATATTTTTCCAATGGAGGTTGAAATGTCACATGGGGAAGTGGACGTCTATGCTTTATAAATAAATAAATAAACCCCTTTATATTGGTTCAAAAGAAAAAGGTCCATATAGTTTTTTATGACGTATTAAGGCCATAAACCGCACTAGTTTTAACTTTCTTATGTATTAAAGCCATAAACCATATAAATTTCCATATAATTTCCACAATTTCTTTATAATATTGTACTTTCACTATAATTTTAGTTCATACAGGTGCGAATGATTAGTGTTATATTTACCTAGGCAACAGTAAAATGTATCATGTTTAAAAATCTATTATTCAGAGAACTTATGTAATTACGTATGTTATAAGGTCATATTTCCCGCCTCACACATTGTTTTCTTCACCCGACATGTTATATATTCTCATGTATGTAAACCTTATGTTTTTAACCTTTTTTAAAGAGAGCATTTATTAGTGTATTATGAGTGAGTTGGGGAAGCATAGTTCTGCTTGGCCTCTAATGGTTTATCATAAATTGATGGGTAAGTTACAAGTGACTTTTTGAAGAAAAACAAAACATGTGCAGGTCGTGTGCTACCAAAATTTGCTCTTTAGGATCCTATGGCAGAATGCAGATGTCATAAAGTCTTTGCAATTAGTACCAAAAGAAGTCCCTTTGCAATGAGTAGCAGCACCCCTTCTGTGTTTCTTTTATTTTTACAAACGAAGTACCAAAAGAAGGCCCATCAGTTGCATGTTGTTCTTTTTCTGGAGGTCACTTCTGTGTTATAAACAAAGTATAAAGCATTTCATGTCAAATTGATTTTTAAATGTGGTCAAGGGACATTCAGTATAAATTACATAATAAGTGATAGGATTAGCATATTCCTGAAGGTTAACATCTTTTGTCTTTTGTGATGTAATGCCCAATGCCTCATCTGCATACTTGTCTTAGAAGAGCCAGATCAAATGCAGATAGGTTATTGGATTGATTGCGTGGTAGCCTGAATAAAAGAAGTTTCTTTTTCGTTCCTCCCTCTTTAATATGTCTTCACAAGGCCTTCTAATAGAGTATTGTCAACCTTTTAAATATATTTTTCTGTTACCATAGTTTGAGATTATAATCAATCTCTGATAGTCCAGTTTGATTGGATGAATACTATTCAAATTTTTAGAAGATCTCCCAATACTTGTTGACAGGGTTCAGGATTCAACAATGAACACAAATAGTATAGATTACACAACTCAAGCCTGTTTCAAATTTCTTCACGGGCACCTATATTCGTATCTTAGATCCTTTCATATTTTACATGCTTTCCATCCTTTTATAGTTGGATATTAATTTTATTATCACTTTACATGTCTCTTTCTCTATCTGTACTTCTCTATTTATTCTCCTCTCTCCTCTGTCTCTATGCTGTTCTGCTGTCGGACACTATCTGGATGCACAGCCAAACCGAATTCTGTTAGTTACAGTTCATCACATGCTATATCCTATTACAGTGGAAGTCCTGCATCAAGTGTTTGTTCCTCATGGTTTTGTTGAGAAGATCGTCACTTTTCAGAAGTCAGCTGGTCAGCTTCTACAAGTTTTCTCCCTCTTTCTATCTCAGTCTATGCCTCTTTTATTTTAGATTACAACTCTCAAGTTGACTCTTGATCCGAAGCTGGATGCATATGTGCTTGTTTCTATAAGAATGATCATATTCGCTTTAATTAATTATCAGTGTTTCAGTAGCTATAAAACAACTTATTTTTATATTTTCATTTTGTAGAATGATTCTGTTTGCAAACCTTATGCCTTTTAATTGAAAAAAAGGACTTACTGACAAACAGTGCATGGATGCTTTATTTGTTGTAATGTATTTTCCATCCTGTTTGTGCAACCATGTAGGTTTTCAGGCCCTAATTCAGTATCAATCCCGCCAGAGTGCTGTTGCAGCTAGAACAGCCCTGCAGGTATTCTTCAAACATCCATATTGCTTTGCAGCTTGGATGGAGACTTTGTTTGAAGTCTGCATCCTAGTTCTTTTAATTGTTGAGCGTTGGTTAACACATCTCCTCTTTACAGGGACGTAATATTTATGATGGTTGTTGTCAACTAGACATTCAGTTCTCAAAGTAGGTTTCAAACCTTTTATCATTTGTGGATTCCATTCATATGCTTGGATTGGTCATATTTCTTTCTCATTATCTACTGATAATGTTAATTTGTTCATTATTCTCATCATAATCCAGCCTTGATGAATTACAAGTGAACTACAATAATGAGCGTTCAAGGTTTGTTGGAATCTGATGGACTTAGTTTTATCTTCTTTATCTTTTTGACGTTTTCCTGCTGTTAGTGCTGAATCTTTTTTTTTTTTTTTTTTCTTTCATCCCTCGCCTAGGGATTTCACAAATCCCAATTTGCCTTCAGAACAGAAAGGAAGATCTCCACAAGTGTGTTCCACTGCATTTTGTTGTTTATTTCAAATTCATATGTTATATCCTCTCTAGTTACCTAACCCTTTGTCTTATATTTCTGTTCACTTTGTGCTACAGTCTGGATATGGTGATGCAGGAGGCATGTATGGCCTTCAAGGTACTGGAGCCAGGGCAGGTGCTTTATTTCTCCGGGTTTTTTTTTTATTGCAGCAATCTTGTGAATAATTTATTAATATCTATGTTCATTTTCGTGTTTCAGTTGGATTTCCGCAGGTGGGTATTGTTCAGACTGTCTTGGATGTGTATGAGATAACCCGGAGCTGAGGATATTACCTGCAATTTTGTGGAAAATATTTAGGATGTCTAGTGGATGACTTTTTCTTTGTTTTTTGATTCTTTGTGAAATTGACCGCATGCTTTCTGGAACTCTACCGTACTTGTGTGTCAGCTCATGCTTGTTTCATTTGAAATGTGCCTACTGCTGTTGGGGATCTCCTACAGTTTGTTTTGGTAGCGAGTGGGGGGAAGTTGTGTCATTTGGGATATTACACTGTTTGGGGGTATAAGATAAGATGTCTGCTGATATCTTTGCATGGCCAGCCTCTGAAAAACGAAAAAAATCTTTGGATCGCCTTGGCCTACTTTGGTCCTTATAAAGAGGATTGTAACCAAGGTTTCTGTATATTTATGGTTTCTGAACTAGTAGTGAGGAACACTAGGACTGTTTAAAGCAAGGAGCCTCCCAATATCTTGAGGCTCATTAATTCCAATTAAAATGGTTCCCACCTTTTAAGTTGGAAATGTATGTTTTTTTTTAAGAAAGATTATAGCTTCTACTTTGTGATATTCTCTCCAATTCAGTATGTGGCTCCTTAATTGTATGGGAAATGATTTTCACACCCCATTTTCTCCCCCTACACGGTTCTCTCTTTTTCTAGCCTTTGGATTGAATAAATCAAAGGAAAATAAAAGGTCGGAATTTTACAGGGGCATGCAGAAATAGGAAAGGGGTGTGTCGATTTCATTTCCCAATTGTATCTCTGTTTATATTCATACTATAATGCAAAATATAAGTAATTAACCACTTTTCCCCTTAAATCTAGATGCCTAATGCAGCTGCAATTGCAGCAGCCTTCGGTGGAGGTTTGCCTCCTGGTATAAGTGGAACCAACGACAGGTGTACAGTCCTTGTCTCCAATCTGAATCCTGATGTAAGTCATGCTACTAGTACTCTTCCTTCTTTCTCTTATGTTCTTTATTCTTGACATGTCGGCACTTTTTATTTCAGAAAATAGATGAGGACAAGCTTTTTAACCTGTTTTCCATCTATGGAAACATTGTGAGAATTAAACTTCTTCGGAACAAGACAGACCATGCCCTTGTCCAGATGGGTGATGGCTTCCAGGCTGAACTGGCAGTACACTTTCTAAAGGTGTGGTTGTTTAAACTTCTCTTATTTATTGTAGGATACAGTGTGTTTATACCTAGGGGTCAACCTCATTATGGAATTATAGTATTTTTCGATGAGTGATGCAAGTTTAACTGTCTGGGGGTCTTTTGTTTTGGTCATGTGGCTTGTAAAGAGCTTTGACAAGGGATGTGTGGCATCTGTTTGTTGGTTTTCAGGTTTGAAAGTAGGTTTAACATTATTGATTATTACTACAATTATTATAATTATGTTTGGATAGTTGTACACGACCCATATATTCTCGATGATATCATAACTGTTCTTGATGATTTACGAAGTCTCTGAAAGCTTGGCGTAGAAGTTGAATAATGCAGTCTTTGGTGCCACTCAACTTTGGTTTTGAGTAGTCTGGCAGAGTTTTCGTTATTGGTTTTTATTTTTTGGTAACTAAAGGTAGAGAAGAAAAGGAGGGAATACTGACATTTGACACTAGGGATGATAGTAGGGAGAAGAATAGTTACCTGCAATGATTCACACGACAAAAACAAACAACAAAAGCCAAAAACAATGTTAAATGGACGTTTTCCCCGTCAGTTAAAGTTTTATATATTCTTTTCTCATTTCTTCTTCACATTCTAACATATATTCTCCGATACACTTTTCCTCTTCACACATTTCTTATAGTGAGAAAAGTTGTCCTTCTGGTACCAATGCAAATTCATACCTGTGATGCAGGGTGCATTACTGTTTGGGAAGCGATTGGAGGTCAACTTCTCAAAGCATCCAAATATAACGCAAGGTGCTGACACACATGAATATGTGAACTCAAATCTCAACCGCTTCAACCGTAATGCAGCAAAGAACTACCGCTATTGCTGCTCCCCAACAAAGATGATCCACTTGTCTTCTCTTCCCCAGGAAGTCACTGAAGAGGAGATTGTGAGCCACCTAGAGGAAATTGGGACCATTGTCAGCACGAAGCTCTTTGAGATGAATGGAAAGAAGCAGGCCTTGGTTATGTTTGAAACTGAGGAGCAGGCCACTGAAGCACTTGTGTGCAAGCATGCTACTTCCATCGGTGGGTCAATAATTCGAATCTCCTTCTCACAGCTACAGGCAATATGATAACTTAATTGTTTCAGAAATAACAGGGATGAGGATTATAAAGCATAACAGGGTTGAGGCTTCATAAATGGGAAATATTTGTGGAGCTGAAGCTGTTATTTGCTGTTGCTTTTGTTTGTAATGGTGTTTTCGAATTGCGATTGTGTTGGAGTATCTGCTTCTTGATCATTTATGGTCTTGGTTATCTCCGGTGTTTGTATCAAATCATTTATTAGGTTCTTTACGTCTTGGAGTTAGCTTTCGTTTCTTAGAGATGCCAAAATTTTTGAAGCATAGGAAAAGGGAAAGTTTTACCTTTTTTCAATTTTTAACTTTTTAGAAGAGGGATTTCTTATGTGTATATCTCTTGTAATTCGGGTTAATTAGGTCATCTCTGTTGGATTGAGTTCTCAATCCATAGCCATTTATGTTCCACACAATTCCTTGATGTGCTACTCTTGTATGTTCACCTTCTTCCTCCTCTCTCTTTCTCTCTCTCTCTCTCTCTCTCTCTCTCTCTCTCTCTCTGTAACATTGACAAACTGTAAATTTTATGTACCATTCTTCCTCCCCTCTCCCTCTCTGTGACATTGACAAAGTGTAAATTTTATGTATGATGATTCTTCCTTCTCACCCCTCCTCTCTCGCCCTCTCCCTCTCTGTGACATTGACAAAGTGTAAATTTTATGTTTGATTCTTCCTCTTTCCTCCCCTCCTCTCGTGTCTCTCCCTCTCTCGCTGACAAATGGTTTGAAAATTGTATGTATGAATCTGCCTCTTTCCTCTCTCTCTATCTCTCTCTCTCTCTCTCTCTCACTCACACACACACAGAGATTGCCACTTGGTCCGCCCTCTCTCCCCCTCCTTTTGGTTTAAGTTGCAATGTCTTCCCGAGCCCTAGAGAAAGCGCCACTTTCGTGTGACATGCTATGGTCTCAACGCGTTTACGAGTAACTGGACACTGGTACCATCTGATAATGGAAAAAATACGTCTAGTTTAGGTGCCTGGTGCGTGATGAGGCACTCGGTTCGGTTGACCTCTATACTTGCCAAAATTGATTAGTGGGTTATATGGACAGGGAATACAATTTCTTTACAGAAAACTTTTGCCTTTTAGATTTAGTAAGAATCGAACTTTATCTGGCATAGCCATTTGTAACTTTCAAATTGTTTTGCGTGCATTGTTTTAATATCGATTAACTTGACAGAAACCAAACTGTCACCCAGTACAAACCATAGAGGTGCAAAATGCAATTGACCTCTTCTAATAAGATACTCCGTAAACCAGTGTGGTCAAAACAGCTAAAGGTCCAAAAGCTAAAAAAATGTCTGATTTGTTCAAAAACTCATATCCAACTGATGGTTAGGCTATAATTCTATAAGGCCCACCAAACTATTATTTGGCCAAAGAGGCGTTAGGCTGGCCAGATGTAGCCCCACTCTTAGTCCTTTTTTGGTTCAAAGAAGTTTTACATAGTGCTTGTGATGAAGCGGAATAGAGTTTTCAAAGTTCTAATCTTGAGCATGAAATGTGAAGAAGATCGTAGCAAAAGTCAAACATGTATTAATTCCAAATCAAGGCTGATGGAGGCAATCAAGACTAAGAAGATTGTAGGGGTCAAGCTTCTCAGTTGTAATCATTCATTCAAATTCAACTAGATTTGAAAACATTTAATGGTAGTTTAACTAAATTAACCAATAAATTTAAGGTATAAACTTAAAACTAATAAATTATTTAAGAGCTATGTTTAACCCCTTCTGTTAGAGATGATATATGAATATGGTCTGACACGTACATTTAAAAATAGTTGTTTGCAGGGCTATAATTATAGACAAGGTTATGTATAGTCCTTTCGATTGGAGATGACTTAATATCTTCAAAAACTAGATTGGCACGAGAAATGACCATCAAAGAAAACCCAAATCCAATTGGCCAAGAGGATGGTTATTGTGGAAACTGGAGTAAAAACTATAGAACTCGTTTGGATGTGTTTTTAAAATGATTGAAAATGCTTTTGATGAAAATATTTTTGGAACCAATCTTTGGTAAAAATGCAAGTAAATCCTGGAAAAGCACTTAAAGTGCTTCCTGAAAAAAACACATAACTGAAGTTTTCAAAGTTCTTGTGATGAAGCGGAATAGAGTTTTCAAAGTTCGAATCTTGAGCATGAAATGTGAAGAAGATCGTAGCAAAAGTCAAAACATGTATTAATTCCAATTCAAGGCTGATGGAGGCAATCAAGACTTAGAAGATTGTAGGGGTCAAGCTTCTCAGTTGTAATCATTCATTCAAATTCAAAAACTAGATTTGAAAACATTTAATGGTAGTTTAACTAAGTTAACCAATTAATTTAAGGTATAAACTTAAAACTAATAAATTATTTAAGAGCTATGTTTAACCCCTTCGGTTGGAGATGATATATGAATATGGTCTGATACGTACATTTAAAAATAGTTGTTTGCAGGGCTATAATCATAGACAAGGCTATGTATAGTCCTTTCGATTGGAAATGACTTAATATCTTCAAAAACTAGATTGGCACGAGGAATGACCATCAAAGAAAACCCAAATCCCAAGAGGATGGTTCTTGTGGAAACTGGAGTAACTACTATAAAACTCGTTTGGATGTGTTTTTAAAATGACTAAAAATGTTTTTGGTGAAAATATTTTTGAAACCAATCCTTGGTAAAAATGCAAGTAAATCCTGGAAAAGCACTTAAAGTGCTTCCTGGAAGAAGCACATAACTGGTGCTTCTTGCAGAAAGCAGTTTAAGTGCTGTTGGAACAAAAAAACATTATCTAAAAGCATTTTCAGTCATTTTAAAAGCACATCCAAACGAGCCAATAGTGGAACCTCATTCAACCACAAGTTTACGAGACAAACTACGAACACAGGCAAACACGGGCCTCTTCAGTTGGCAGGGCAGCGTACCATTGACACCGAACTTGAACTCCGATCGTTATCATCTAACGATTGTTTAGGGCAAACAAAACGAAGCTGCTATGTTTGTACACATGGAAAAAGTCAGCAGATTGAAAAGCCAATTCTAGACCACAGTGTTCCTTCAGCATTGGTTTAATTACTAAAACATGGAAGTCATTGTAGCATTGCATTAGTACAATACGCATGGAATCATTTCTGTTCAACGAACAAACGGAATAAAACAAAACTTTAGGGAATTGTAGAGAGTACAGAGGGCAACTTGTACCAAACCGGTGATTACAAAGAGAGCATACTACGACAAATCCCCCACTCAGGTTGCTTGCTAGTAAAGCATCCACACAGCACGTCAGTGTAATTGCCGGTTGAACTCAGTCCGCCGGTCATTCTTTGTTGCTGGAAGATTTTCCTTCCCTGACAGCTCTCCTCTTCTCTTCCCTGCAGAATTTTGAAAAAGGTTGAGTTAGTTCCGAATAAAAAATGATGGGAAAGAACTCTAGTTATCCATAGAAACTATGTTCCACGTGTTGGATGTTAACCATATGTATCTGAGCCTTCATTAGTCTTAATTCACAAGCTTAGTGTGTTTTGAATTAGATGACAAAATACAATCACTTGTAAGGATGACAAGCTAATGGTCATACATGGTGATTAGCGCATTTTACCTGGCTTTTGATATTTCCTCTCTAGGAGGGTGCTTCAGTTTCGGGTATTTCTTTTTCTGTTCTTGTTTTTGTTCCAAGGGGGTTTTCCCATTCAGATGAGAGAAAAAGGCAGGGAAATTCATATCCTTCGACCTTAACCCAGCGCCCTTCCTCCTTTTCACAGTGACAGGGGATTCCTTCTTTTGGTTGGTAGTGCCTGGAGATTTTAGTTTCCCATTTTCACTAACCTCTTCTTCCAAAACCTTGTTTTCAATTTTAGTATCATCCTCTGTCAACATCTGTTTGTCATCTTCCTCAGCATTCTCTTCTTCAGTCATGTTTTGGGCTTTCTCCACTGTTTCACCGAGTTCAGACTTTTCCGCCGATGGCTTCAAATTGCTCATCTTTTGCAGCTGCAAGCATTGAGTAATCAAAGAACTAGTTATGGTCGCAATTCAAAGAGATCCCTGACCCATGACGTCTAGTATTTAATCCTTTACTTTCACCCAAAGAAAGGGAAGACAAAAAAAAAAACACACGCACACACAATTTTACCTTCGCCACAAAAAAGCCATCCATATTGTGAACATGAGGGTAAAATCGCCTCGTGTTCTCTAATGATGGGTGAAACCGCTGTTCCCTGAACCGGACAAACCTGATAAAAAAGAAAGAATCATTAGTATAGAAATGTAAAACTCTTTGCATCATCAACCGAGCCACACAAAAGGAGAATTATCTTTACCCTTTAACCCCAAAGCTAAGTCCACATGGGACAAGTTTAACATTTCTCTTTTTGAGTGCATAGTCAATTACTGCTTCATTCTGCAAGACATGTTAAATAAATATTAAGGAACAAGTAAAACTAGAAAGACAACTTAGGGTGCAATAAACAAACCTCAGCAACCAAAATGGAGCATGTGGAGTAAACAATGTATCCCCCGGATTTTGAATTTGCATCCACCATGTCAATTGCGGCAAGTATCAATTGCTACAGAAAAAACAATACAAAATTTAAAGGCGATCTAAATGATGAATGAATATAGTAATTTAGAAGAAAACATCATTAATTGAAAAAGGAAAAAAGAAATATATAGGTCTGCCATTGATCTGACATGAAAAAAGGTCCACATTTTCTCATAAATATTTTGGGAAAGGGGAGTAAAAGTTGATTTTTCATTTTAATAGAAAAGGAGAGATTAGATTGTTAATTGCTTTTGTAAAGTAATAGACACGTATAATAACTGTTGACATTCTAGCAACTTCTTCGTCTAGAATCACTAGTCGGAGAACAATATACCTTCTGCAGGTGAGCACATTTATGAATTTCATCAGAGCTTTTAGAAGTTTTAACAGACTCATCTTTAGATATAACCTGCAACAAAAGACTTGTTACATTTCATACATCCACAAAGCCAAGTAAATGGTAGCACATTCACCCCAGTTGCTTACCCCTGTCCCACTGCAAGGAGCATCTAATAGAACTCTATCGACTGCGTTGACTCCCAGAACCTTAGGGAGCTGAAATAGAGGATTTAATTAACAGACGAAAAAGAAAAGATATAAAATTGGACAGAACATAATAAAACACAATAATCCTCAGAAATAGTCTTAAACAACAATACATGATAAAAAAAATTGAAACCAATCAAAACAAAAC